AAAAGTTTTGCTCAAGATAGAAGCTGAACTTTGGAAAGGATTCCTCTTCTGACCATCACCTCCAATTAGATAAAGACAAGATCAGATAAGGGGAGTTAAGTTAAAGATACCACTGTCACCAACTTTACAGGAGGCTTAAGGGCCCAGACTTACCAGTCTAGGCTTTAGAAATTCTCTTCTTGATGCCAAATGGGCTTGCACTTTCCAGAAATACTAAAATAAGGCAGGAAGTAAAGCTAAGTTAAAACAGATAAGGATTTGGGACTTTTACAGCAGGATTTTTCAGATAACTTTTAATTAAAGTTTCTCTAACTCTCCTGCCACAACTGGGCTCTATCAGTACAGCATAAATCCACAGGGGAAAAAGTGGGCACAGGACTTTGATCTCCTACCAAGTTCCAACTTGTGCTCTCCTATTTTTTTTTCCTTTCCTCTCAAGTAGACCAGCTCCATGCTTAGTAAAGAGAAAAATCCATTTTAAAGCAAATGAAGAATGATGTATGTAAACATGATGTATGTAAACAGTGCTTTGGGAAGCCTCAGAATAATAGATGGTTCTCAAATAGCCCAATTCAGTCATTCTAACTTTGGCCTCCTAGGGTTGTTTCAACATCTAGGCCTTCTCTCAAGTTCTTTGATCATCTCCACCCTTCCAATACCCAAAGCTATAGAAAGGAAGCTATGCCTCTGTTGGGGGGCAGGGTGTATTTTTAATTGGTAGGCTTCCCTGGGAAGCTGACAAGGGGACAAGAAACAGAGTTCAAGCATCCCTAAACACTCTATATAACCCTCCTGACTTGCTTTTGCACTGTAAGATCTACCAGTTGCTCCCCACTCCTTCTGCTTTCCTTTAAGTGAAGAACCAGTGCTTTCCCAGGACATCGAGTTGCTCCTCAAATCTGTTCCCTACTGAGTCTCAAGGTTTATCTCGCTACCTTATTTCTTGGGTGCAAAATCCTAAAGATCTCTAACCAGTGGTTTGTTCATTGAGAAGGAGCTACATGGGAAAACTGGATTAACTACACACATACACACACACACACACACACACACACAATGTTCCTCAACTTGTAATGGAGTTCTGTCTTGACATATTCCTTGTAAATGGACAATATTTAGGTGGAAATAACACACCTAGCCACAACAATAAGTGTCTTAGTGGTTTTCCCTGATGATCATGTGGCTGACTGGGAACAATGAGAGAATAGTGCGCCATGTATTGCCTGGAAGATGATCAAAGTCCAAAATTTAAAGTATGGTTTCTACCCAATGTATATTGCTTTCATACTATTATAAAGTAAAACAACAGCAACAAAATTTTAAGTTGAATTATTATTAGTTGAAGGCTGTCACACTTCCTTCAACTTTTGAGTTAGAAAGATTTGATTTCCTGGAATTAAAGCTTGCACCGAACCTCAGGGAATTTCAAACTTAACAACTAGTTTTCCATCTTCATTTAAAAAAAAAATCAGCAGGTTGCTGGGCATAGGTGGCTCATCCGATAATCCTAGCGACTCAGGAAACTGAGATTTGAGGATTGTGGTTCGAAGCCAGTCTGGACAGGAAAATCTGTGAAACTCTTATCTCCAATTAACCACCAAAAAATCTGGAAATGGAGCTGTGACTGGAGTAGTAGAATGCTGGCCTTGAACAACAAAGCTAAGTGATTGTGATAAGACCCTGAGTTTAAGCCCCAGGACACACACATACACAAACATATACACATACACCCACACATAAACCAGCAGGTTTCAATTCTGAGGTTGCATTTCTCAGTCTTTGTTTAGAAACCTACTACGGTATGCCAGTATCACTGCAATGGATAATGAGTTAAAAAAAAAAAGGAAGAAAGAAATGGATAATGAATTCCAAGAAACTTCTTTCTCTAAGGACCTGAACATGTCTAATTTCAAAACCACTGCAGGAGAGCAGTTTGAACTCACTGTTCATTGATGATGCAAAGCTAGCCTTCTAGTCATTTCACTGTCACCTTTTTATTCCCTTCATTTGTGGGTGATTTGAAGACAGAGACTTTTCTGTAACCACTCACTTTCACTCAGTAGCTGAGCAAGGGTTTAGCTCTACAAATGTACTTCACCTGTTTCATATGCTCTCCAGCATTTTCCATTCGCAAGGCAGCTTTCCAACCCCATTATTTATAACAACTTCACAGTCTACAAAAACGTCTTTACAATCATATTCCCATTAGATCCTTAAAATTGCATTGTACGATAGGCATGCATAATGACCATATTCCAGATGGAGACCCAGAGGTTTCCTTGGCTAATTTAATGACAGAGCAGGAAGGGAGGAGAGCCATCTATATTTTGTGTGCTCTAACTACACTTTACTGCCTCCCAGACAGTATTGTTTCCAAACTTTTCGTAGGCTAGACAGTCTCTGGAGGAAAGTAAGTTGAATGTACTTATGGCCTCAGAAAGTGTAAATAAAAACCTGAAGTGTCCAAAATCAAGGCTCGATGCCATATGATGTGACTAGAAAATACTATTGAAGTGTGTTCTGGCGCTGGATAAAAGATCCAAACTCTTGTCTCATCGAAGGAGAAGGTCACAGGCAGGGAGTGCCTCTCGTCCTGTCTTGGGGCCTCAGTTTCTCCATGGATGAGGCTAGAATCTAAATGAGTCTGGGTAGGTCTCTCGAGGTCCGGCTGAGAATTTAAAGTAGTTCAAAGTGACCGGTCCGGCGGAGATCCAGGGATCCCTGGCAACCGGGAGGGGGGGAGGGGAGTGTGGGCACCCCCGTGCAAATCCTAGGCGCGGAGGGGGGGCGCGGGCCAGGCCTGGCACAGGGCACCCTGCCAGCAAGGTGCCAGCCTCCCAGGAGGCAGGGCGGGCATCCCGGCAGGCAGCCCAAGCACAGCCAGCCCCACCGGAGTCCCCACTAATTCCCACCACCCAGGGATCAGCAGGGCGCCAGGGGTTAGGCATGCGCGCGCATTCCGCCTCCAGCCCCCCCCCCCCCGCTGAGAAGCCTGCGCGTGCGCCCAATTAACACCGCTCTAGGCCCCGGGGATTAGGAGGGCCTCACTTGCAGAACCGTGCGCAGGAGATCATCACCGAGTCTAGACTTCGAAAGCAGTGGTTCTGAGTGCTGATTAGGACTCCTGATTCCGGGGCCCCACCCTAGCCCTTGACCACCCAAGCACGTCCATTCCGGAATCACCCCAGGTAGCGGCTGAGATGAGTGGTACGCCGAACCGGAGCGGGCACCACTTGGCAGATATCTGGTGTGGAAGAACTCGCACTCCTATGACTCCCCCGTTCTTCCCTCTCCCTCTCCGGCTGCCGGCTGCCTTTTCTAGCCTGGTTTAATCAGTACCAGGCAGGCTGGCAGGAAGTCCATTCACATTGGTTGGGCTAACTGAAAAGTCTCTTTCCCAGAATATCAAAAATCCCCATCCAGCTACTCCACATCAAAGCTCAATCCTCAGCTTTGACTCTCGCCCAACTATGCCTCAGCTTACCCAGGGTTTGGTGCACCCAGGAGAAAGTTTTCATGTCCACCCCAACTCCGCCCCTAGCAAGCAGTGGCCCAAAGAGTGTGTTCTGTCCTTCTCCCGCTGTCCCTCTCCGTTCCCCCTCCCACCACAAAGGAAAGCCAGTCCACCCAACAAGAACAAGAATATAAAACTTGAATGTGAAAGTGTGTGTGTACGCTTGCGCACACAACAGTGCACCTACAGCTGGAAGGTCTGACCCATTCCCATGCGTTGGATTCTGGCTCAACTTTAGGCACATTCAGTATCAGACAGTGGCTTCCATGCAAGGCAGCTGGATCATGTGTGCAGACAGCCCCTTTCAGCAGCTCTGGGCGGGGAAAGGACACTCCCTCGCGGACTCTCACGAGAGGCAGGCAGAAATAACCAGAGCTGAGATTCTCACACACACTCACAACCCCTGTTGAGGTCAGCAAGGCCTCTCCTCAGGACAAGGCCTGGACGACGGCTTGTCCATGTGAGTAGAGTGGGGGGATTTGAGGTGTTGACACTAAGGTCCTTCTGCCTTCCAGACTCCCCCTGCGCTCTAAGGCAAGAGCAGCTAGCAAAGCCGCCAGGCTTGTTAGACTGTGGGCAATTCCACTGCCTGGGCTGGTTCTCAGGAGTGCTCTGCAGTATTGGGTTGGTTGTTCTCTAAGCAGTTCCAACACTGCCAAGAACTGTGTCATCGCCTGTGCTGCCCCTCCGTATCAGTCCTGTCCTAGCCTGGCTTGTCTCAAAACCTCAAGACTATAGCTCTTTCCGAGAAAGCCAGGAACACAGCTGTGAGTTCTAATCCCTCGGGGCAGTTCCAACACTCCCTCCTGGCTCCAGATGTAAAGGAACAGCTGTGGGGGTGGCAAGAGGCCCAGTTGGCAGTGAAGCAGGGCCTGGAGGATGGAGAACAAAGGCTGGAGATGCAGGCAAACGACAGGGCTGTTAGGATTCTAGGGACCTGGGGCAATCGCATCCCCTGGCCTGGTGACTGGCTGAGAGACCTTGCCAAATCCCTCCAGCAATGTCCTCCACCCTGCTCACCCCAATTCTGGCGCCTGTGTTGCTGGCAGGACTTTCATGGGCTCCATTTTAATTCCCACTTAGTGTGAGAGCAGAGCCAGCTCTGTCTGACTCCGCCCCATCCTTAATATATGCACCTCCCCGAGTACAGTTTTGCTAATTAAAGAATGAGGGAAAGGAAGGAAGATGGAAAAGGATTCTCAGAGGAAGTCACCTCCATCTGGCCTCCTCTATCCTCCCTTCTTTCCTTCCCCTGAGAAATGTACCAGGATACAGGATGCCAGGTTGGGTGCCCACAGACAGGGCTACTCCAGACAAAGCTTGCTTGCTTGCTTTGCAAGGGTGGTAATTCACAACTAAACACCAAGCACCATCTCTGTAATAATGACTCCCCAAATGACTATGTCCTGCTCTGGTCCATCAAGCCTTCGTGCTGTCATGCCCCAACGAGATCCTCCCCAACCTGAAAGAATACAGGCCTTGTAACTGCTTCCGTTTTAGGAAAAAATATTTTAATGGTAGGTTTGAAACCTCTCTTCAAGCTGAGGTCCCCTTCTCGGTGGAACCCCCTTCCCAGTGCTCTTCCCATGCCTGCTGGGAGGTAGCAGCCCCTCTCTGGAGGACACATACCAATTCCCAATGCCTCCACCCTCCTGGGAGGCTAGCTCGGGGTCTGGGCCTTAGTTTGCCCATGACATGGAAGTTTTTATAAAAAGTGGGCAGAACACTGTACCCTGCCCCTTTTCTAGATGCCATGGGACCAGCCCACAGCACATTCCTACCCCTTAATTAAATAGCCCATTAAATAATCTCTCGGTGCTGGCAGAGAGCATTTGCCTTGGCAACAAGTCCTCTGCCTTGGCCGGGCTCTGAGGCCTCAGTGCCTCTACCCTGGCTGGATCCGGGCCCCACATGAGCAGCCAGGGGCATGGCCTCATTTCAGATCTGGCCAGTCTGCGACGCCCTCCCCCTCAGTGGAGGGTGAGTGTAAGTGGGTAGTGCTGGCACAAAGCACCCACACCGCAGATGGGGATCATCCAGGCAGCACAATGGGCAACCCACAGGCTTAAGGTCTTGCTGAGTCAGAAGTATGTGAGGTTCTTGACCGCTCCGATTTCCAGCATCCGCTTGATAGCCAAGGCCTCTTGGGAGACATTGTGGCCTGACCCCTGTGGATACAGCCGAGAAAGTAAGCTCAGGGGCTCTTAGGGACTTTTTTGCCTCAGCAAAGTCTCTCTGCCCCTCCCCATGGCCCCATATCTCTTGGGAGGTCTCTTTCCTGTGTCCGCTCTAGGATGAAAACAAACTATGTGGCCAAATATAGAGGATGCCTCAGTGCCAGTTCTGACTCTGAATGACCCTACTGCGAGCAGCTTCTGGGCCCCTGCACCTCTGGTTACCTGACCCCTAAGACCTATCTGGCCTAGGGAACTCCTAAGCAGGACCACTTACCGCCATGGACTTGAGTGTGATCTGTTCATAGTAGTGAATGGTCTGCTTCTTGTTGTAGGCATCTGGGTAGCCAAAGCCAGCAATGTGCACCAAATCACAGAGATGGAGGGCCAGGGTGATGGCCAATAAGCCTGTGGTCGGCTTCTGAGGGACAAAAGGTAGGAGGGTATTAAAAGGAATCCTGCTCTTTGCCTATCTTCTGGGCCTGTGTTCTGTAGCTGGAGCTCAGAGCCTTCCGTAGTCATGGAGATGTCCCTTACCCGCATGATCCAACAGGGCCTTAGGCCAACTGAGCATATGAGGGCAGCTGAGTGCAGCTGAGGAACTGAGTTTTTTGTTCTATGAAATTTTAATTTATTTGTTTGCAGAGCCGAGGGTGACACCCAGGGCCTCTTGCATTCTAGGTGAATTCTCTATCACTGGGCTATACCACCAACCCTAATTAAGTTTTAAATTTAAATAACTACATGTGGCTAGTGGGGACTGTGAGATTAATCTTGATGACCAACGTGACTGGGCTGAGAAGTGAGTTGCAGATAGGAGACAAGTAAAGCTCTGGGTATATCTGGGAGGATATTTCCAGAGAGGTTTAACCAAGTGGTGAGACTTGCCACAAATGTGGGCGGCACATGGAGGCTTGGGGCCTATAAGGAATAAAGGGGAAAAAGGAGAAAACCCACTAGTAGAAGCATTCTCCCCCGCCCCTCCTTTGCTTCCTGACCACCATGAGGTGAACTGCTCTACTCTAATGTGCCTTCTCCAACATCACTGAAACCAGAGCCAAATTAAATCCTTCCTCTCTTAAGTTGTTCATGTCAGGCACTCTGCCACAGCAACAGAAGTCTGACTAACAATAGCTTCCACACTAGATCTTACAACTTTAAACATCTTGGGGAAGGTCTGGGGTTCTAGTGAAAAAAACAACATCCAGTACAGGAAATATTACCATCTTAATGCTACCTACTGCTTTTGGAGTACGTGTCAGACACTGCATTAAATCTTAACATAGTATGATACATCATCACATCTATCCCTCTCCAAAACACAGGCAGACATTACCACTAGCTCCACTGGAGAACCTGAGGCTTTTGAATATTAAGCCATTTTCTCAAAGAAGGGAAGGCATCTGTCCTCTTCCAAAAGCGGGGCAGGGTGGGGGCTCTCAATCAGACAATCATATGCTCAGTGCCATCTGATCCTTCATGGATGGGCTCTGGTCTGTAAAGTGGGGCTGACCATCCCGTTCCCACCTCTACTGTACGCTAAAGACCCCACTTCCTCCACACCTGCTTTAGCCACAGGCATGGGCAACCTGATAAATAAACTTCACAAATCTTGACTTCCTCAGCTCCAATAACCAGCTTTTGGAGAACATGATCATCTGTCTGCTCCCATTTGGGAACCACTTCCAAGACTCAGCCAGGCCTCTTAAACCAGCTTTTCCCTGGCATTCCTTTTGAGCATCCCTGATGTCTTGTTTCTACCCCCTCATAGGCACTTTTCCTTACCCTTGGAGCTTTAACAGCCCAGTGCACTCTCTTCCAGTCTGGGCCACTTGCAAAACCTCACGGCCATCACCTCCTAGCCAGCTCTGCCTGGGTGCACTCCTCACACTCCCTCCCTACGTTCTTAGTAGTAGATAACTATAACACCACCTACCCCACTGTCCAAGCTAGAAATCTAGTATTGCTCATAAACTTCTCAATTCTTTTTCTTTGGGGGGAGGGGGTCAGTCATGGGGCCTGAACTCTGGGCCTGGGTGCTGTCCCTCAGCACTAAAGCTCAAGGCAAGAGCTCTACCACTTGAGCCACAGCACCACTTCCCATTTTCTGGTGGTTTACTGGAGATAAGAGGCTCATGGATTTTCCTGCCTGGGCTGGCTTTGAACCTCAATCCTCAGATCTGAGCCTCCTGAGTAGATTGGATTATAGGTGTGAGCCACCAGCACCCAGCTCAATATTTTTTTCATTTTCTGTGTTGATGGATTCTCCATTTATTCTCAGAGTTAACTATATCCCATGTGTCCTTAGATATGAGAATATGAACTTCTCATTTCTACCCATAGCACAGCGGCTGTGGGAGGCACAATTATGAGAGGACCCCAGTGACCCTCACTCTTGCATAACCTGTTCTCCTCCTAGGCATATGGAACCCAACAGGGTAAATATAGTTCACTATAAAATTTCACTTCATATGGCACCTTTGTTCATAAGTAGAAAGACTACCCCTAATCTAATCACTTGAGCCTCTAAATTTGGGTGTCATGATAAGAGAGGGAGAAAGACAGATACTTGAAGCATAAGAAAGATTTATCCTGCTGTTTCTGGCCTGAAGATGGAGGAGCCACACCACAAGCCAAAGATGCCCCCTTACCCAGCCCATGCCAGCAAGGACACAAGGACCTCACTTCTACACCCGGAGGAATCCAATTCTCTTATCAGTAAGAATAAGCTTAGAAGTGAAGTTTTCTCCAGAGCCTTCAGACAAAACCTCAGTTCTTATATTCAGCCTTGTAATACTTCCAAACAAAGACAGGACTATAAGAAAATGTGTGAATATTGTTTTAGGTCACTGAGCTTGCAGTAATTAGGCAACAGTAGAACATGAATACAATGTCAAGTCCATTACCTTCTCCCCTTTTTCCTTCCCCACTGCCAAGCGCTGGATTCAAGTCCTTGCCTTCTCTTAACTCCCTCTCCAGCCTTTACACCATCTTCATACCTCATCCATGGCATAAAAAGATCTCCTGTTGCCCCTTAACTAAGCTAAAACAACTTAGTACTGGAATTAGTGTTTGGCCTTGCCAAATGAAATGCTTTTCCCATCATAATTCTTCCAGGCGCAAGCCCAGTATCCCTTATTCTGGGAAGCCAACCACACCCAGACAGTTCAGCAGAAATCTGACTGTCCTCAGTTCCCTCCACACTTAGAACAACTCTATCACCCCACAGTGCTACCTGAAAGCTTCTACTAGACTGAGTCTCCTTGGGGCAAGGAGCATGCCTCACCTGTGGAGGCTGCAGGCGCTGAGTCTGGCATTGAGCAGGCATCCCACAGGCCATGTCGAGTAACAGCAAACATTCAAGAATAAAATCATTTACTCAAAACTTGGCACACACTGATTGAGAGGACACTATGTTCCATATCCATGATTGACATTATACATAATTAATTATCTTCTTGATTCTACAATGGCCTTAAAAGGTCAGTACTAATATTATCCTCACCATACATAGTAAGTAGTACAGAGAAAGAGTAAACAAATGCAGTAGTGGTGCTCACTAGACACTATGTTGAAAATGAGCTAAACAACTTGTGGGTAGGAATGGGAGGGAAAAACTGGGAGAGAGTGAGGGAAGGGGTGGCATTGTCCAAAAAGAAATGTACTCTTTATCTGGGTGCCAATAGCTCATGCCTGTAATCCTAGCTACTCAGGAGGCTGAAATATGAGGATCATGGTTCAAAGACAGCCCAGTCAGGAAAGTCCATGAGAGGCTTATATCCAACAAACCACCAGAAAATCAGAAGTGGCACTGTGGATCAAAGTAGTAGAACCCTAACTTTGAGTGAAAAAGCTCAGGGATAACACCCAGGTCTTGAGTTCAAGCTCCATGACACAGAGAGAGGGGAGAGAGAGGAAAGAGAAGAGAGAGAGAGGAGAGAGGAGAGAGAGAGACAGACAGAGAGAGAGAGACAGAGAGAGACAGAGAGAGAAAGAGTATTCTTTACGTGATTTATATAACTGAAACCCTTCTATACATCATACATCACCTTTATAAGAATAATACAAAAATTAAAAAGAGTCCTATTTGTGCCTGTTGATTTACCCCCTTCCTGTTCCTATCCTATCTAAGACATGTGGAGAAATATTTAGGAAGCCACCACAAAGCTTAACATACACCAACTGAAAACCACTGGGGCACTGAGAACTCAAAGCCATGACGCAGAACTACCATGCCTCCAAAAACTGGCACACCATTCCAAACCATGACATACAAAGCCGACTAGTGAAGCCGAGACTCTTCTAACCTAACTAGATCAATATGTCCCAAGATAAGAACACAGACTACATAGTTAATAGTAACTGCACAGACTCACACTGTTCCAAAGAGAGGACAGGGAATGTTCCAGCAGCTCCCAGTTTATAGAGACTGTCCAGTGTCTGCCAAAGCCATCCTCTAAGTCCAGCTCTTAAACTCTAATAGAGACCTTTCACTCATTCCCACTCTCAAGCTATCCAGTGGTTCCCTAAAGTATGTGTTCACTCTCTCTCCCTACAGCTGGTTAATCAACCTACCTTTGATTACAGGTGCATTCCTGAAGGTCAAGAGTGACTTGCTATCTCTTATCTGCCCCCACCTCAAGGGTTCTTCCACAGCTTCTTATCCAAGGCCCCCCACCCTTCAGGCCTGGCGTTCCTGTCAGTAGCCCATCACCTGTTTGATTTTGCGTGGTTGTTGTAGGGGCAGGCTCAGGAGCTTGTCAGCTGCAATCTCCATGAAGAAGGGGTTGAGAATCCGCACCTGTTTGGGGTTGACATCCCAGATGAGGGGAGGCTGTTTCCAGAAACCTTTTCGCACCTAGAGGGAAGAATTGGAATGGAGAGAGAAAATAATGAGTGGAGATTTGTTTCTTTTATCTAAACAGGTCAATGATCTTCAAACAAAGAAGGGGACCCTAGGAAAGAATGATGGTAAGGGAGAGGAAGAGGGAGAGAGAAAAAAGTGGGGGAGAGAGAAGGAAGGCAGGGGTACCCCTCAGAGTCCAGGTGATAAGATTAGAGTGTGGGGTCGAACCATTGCCCACTTCCAGGATATCCAGGCAAGGAAGTAGGGGCCCAAGTTTTAAACTGGCAAAAAACAAAAAACAAAAACCCCACACCAAACCTCCAGATGGGAAAATTCAGCCTTGGACCAGATGGGGCAGGCTCTTTCTGGGCACAAAAAGGGTGCCGAGCTTATTTCTAGACCGCCTGGGATGACTGCTGGAGAGCTGCTCCACTCCCAGGTTTCTTACACACATCCAGGCAGCCCTCAACTGTGGGGGAGGAGGCTCCTCCTCTGGCTGCCTCGGCCTGACCCCTGCAGGCTACAGGGCCAGCTCACTAGGACAGCTTATCCACAGCCCTGCAGGACACTGCCCTGGGAGGACAGCCTGAGGCGCTGCCTGCTGGAGTCTGATTCATGCTGTCCCCTCAGCAGCTCTTTAGGACTACAGACTGACACTGTGCAGGGGATCCTGACGCAGACAGTGTCCGGACATCTGGGTCTTTTCCTCCCACCTGCCCTCAATTTACCCGCTTTTTGTCACTCAGAATGGTTTCAATCCAGTGGAAGTCCATTGCCTTGAAAGCTACCAAGACCAGAAGCGTGTCTGGGTTGTTCTCCACTTTAGGGTCAAAATGGGCAGACTCCGGGTAGAAGAGACGCATGGTGGTCTTGGAGCCCACATCGCCCTCGTAGCCAGCCACTGGGGCATTGTTCAATCTGGAGCAGAAAGAGAATACTCATCACAATAGCCTCCAGGCTTGTCTTGGGTCCTGCCTGGGGTATCCAGTGCCCAAAGGGAAGTGGGAGGGAGGGTCATACGCACCTGATGACTACATCGTACTTGTTGATGGCCTCTCCCAGAGAGCTGTTCCGCAGCCGGTGCCCATTCCCCACCACCACACAGCGGCGGCACTTGAGACTGCCATGAGAAGAGAAGATCAAATCTAGCAGTAGCCCCTAACTCTCAGTGACTAGATATGCCTAGGGCCCATCTCAACATCACCCTTAGCCCGTGGTCCCTGTGGAACAGGCATGGCCAGGTGGTCCTGTTTATAATCCTGCAGCCCTAGGTCCTAAAGGGAGAAGCAATCGAGTAGAGAATGGCAGCGCAAAGAGGAGAAGGAAGAAGCAAGCGCTGAAAGCACCATATGAAACCCCACAGCAGAGCCCTCTTGCTGGCTGCCCAGGCTTGTCTGTTGCCATGGTGATACTCCTCAGCAGCATCTGCATGCTCTGGCACGTGGATGCCCAGGCTAGGATGCTGTGGGGAACAGCATATGTGTAGCCCCTGGAAAGAGGCAGGTTAGGAGGGAAGGTCAAATTGGCCCAGGGAACTAGTAGATAGGAGGCTCACTGGGATGGTACTAGGCCAGGATGCTTTGACCCTGAGTCAGGAAAAGGAGAAGGTACCCAGACTGGAATGGTAGGAGTGTCTCCTTACCTCTGGATACTCTCAGGTATGGAGTAGCTGGTGATAGCTAGCACCCGGAGGAGTAGGTCTTCTACAAAAAGAACAAACAGAAGCGACCAAAACAACAGTCATCAGCCTTCTGAAGGCTGCCTGCTTTGTTTCACCCTTCAGTACCTTTTCCCTCCTAACCCTAATATCTGAATATGGCTGAGGCATAGGGCCCAATTCATCTTCTCCCATGTCCCATTCTAGGTCCTTCACCCCCCAGTAGAGCAGACCCAGTCTCTGCCCCTCTCTAACCCTAGCTTGACACTGGACCTAGGTGTCTCCACTGTCTTTCAGGAAGAAGGACACGGATGACAAAGAACAAACAGTGTAGACAACATGAAGTCGTTCCTGAACTGGGCACAGACTTACCACTTCCCTTGGTCCCGTAGGGCAGCTCATAGGCAGATGGTGTCTTGACCCAGAAATAGTCCTTAAGCTGCAGGAAGAGGGGATGATCTCGGGAGTGGCTACACAGGGTGCGAATGAAAGGGGGATTAATCTAGATGCCAGAAGAAGGCCAAACCTCTGACTAATGTTGCATGACCTTTCCTTTTCTCCGCAGCCTCACCTAACCCATTTCCTCAAGCCAAGCCAGCACTGAGACTGAACTTCTTAATCACCTGTCCCTTCTGTCCCTCCCTCCTCATCCTCATGTGCTTACTTGCCAAAGATCTTAGAGGCCTTCCTCTCTGCCTCACCCTGAAAGCACGGCTCCTTCTTCTCCGGGATGGGAAAATAAAAACTGGAGACAGAGAAAGAGAGGAGGGAGCCCCCATCAGAGCTAAGATCCCCAAGGCCAGCATCCCAGGCAGCCTCCAGCTCCCCATGACACACAGTTTCCAGGGCACTGGAGGGACTTGTAGAGTGACATCTTCTCCGTCCAAGTACTACGCTGAACACAAATCATGGAGGGACCAACTCTTCCTGCCCTGCCACACCCCTTATGGAGGAATTATCCAGACCCTCTCTTATCTAGCTCCATCCACCCTCACAGAATGACTCTGCCAAGTAGTTGTGAGAGGAAAAAATCAGGCCCTGGCTCTCAGAACACTGATGCTCTGCCAGGCCCCCTGTCTGACCAGATCCTCTGCCTGCATGTCTCTGAGAAAGAAGAAGCAATGGAAGGACACAGAAAGCGCACTCACAGCTCAATGTATCTGTCTTCTCGGGAGATGGAATACCACACCATGACAACCAGGACCAGAGCCAGCATGGCCAGGAGCTTCCAGCCTGCAGGGCACATGCACAGAGGAGCTAGAGGCAGAAACAGGCAGGTACAGCCCCAGTCCACCTTCTCCCCTTGCCCTGTTCCGAGCCCTCCACCCCCAGCAGAGCAGACCCAGTCCTCTCCTGGGACTGGGATCTGCTATCCTTCAGAAAGAAGATAGGTCTCTGGCTCCCACTCCCCCACCCCCGAGGGTCCCAGGTACTGCCGAGGCCAGCTTCTGGAGGGGCCCTCCTCCAGCATGGGGAAGCCCCTGGACCACACTCACGGGACTTGCTGATCATGTTCCTCAGCAGGTAGCAGGGTTCCTGGGCAGAACTGTCATCCCGGCTGCCTCGGGCCACCTAGGAGGTAGGAGTCGCAGGTGTCTGTCTAGTTGGCTCCACCAACACCTACCTAGGCACTGGAGCAAGCTATTCCCTTGCCCCCCCCTTTCCTCCTCCAGGAAGCACTATAATCCTAGCTACTCAGGAGGCTGAGATCTGAGGATCATGGTTCAAAGCCAGCCTGGGTGGGAAAGCATGTGAGACTCTTATTTACAATAAACTATTCAAAAAAAATGCTGGAAGTGGTGCTGTAGCTCAAGTGGTAGAGCACTAGCTCAGGGACAGTGCTCAGGCCCAGAGTTCAAGCCCCAGGACCAGAAAAAAAAAGAAGGGAAACTGAGGTTCCAGCTCTCAAAGATTAGGTCTTAAGCGAGACCTGCCCACTTGAGCCTCACTATGGGGTCCCTCAGCATCATTCCACATTTTGACCCAGGACAACTCAGATCAAGAAACAAGTGAGTGCCTCTGCTTTGACGTGAAAGTTAGGCTAACAGTACCAGAGCCTGATTCATATCTTAGCTAACTGTAGGTTGTCTACTTTTCATCATCTAGAGCATCGCTGAGTTTAGCCACTTCCCTCCACTCATTGGTAATCTCCTGAGACTCCAGCTGGGGCCAGATACTGGGGAGGGATGGAAGATGGTGCTTCTCAATAAAGAAATGTCAGAGATTCCCCCTTCCTGAGCCTCTCACAGTAGGTGGCACCCTGCCACTGAGATACACATCACACGCACACACACACAACCACACATACACACACACACCACTGCTTTGAGTTAACTCCCCCGACAGTTCTACTCTCCCACAACAACCTCCAAGTCATTCTCCACTTACAGAGCTCTCCTCATTGCCTTTGTAAGCTGCCTCCTGATCTGCAATTAGCTTAGTTACTTATGCCTCTGCTCTCTGTCTGAACCTATTGGAACAGAAATTCTGTGGGGAGCTGGGCACTGATGGCTCATGCCTGTAATCCTACTCAGGAGGCTGAGATCTGAGGATCGAGGTTCAAAGCCAGCTCAGGCAGGAAAGGCCATGAGATTCTTATCTCCAATAAACTACCAGAAAACCAGAAGTGGTGCTGTGGCTCAAGTGGTAGAGCACTAGACTTGGGCTGAAGAGCTCAAAGTTCAAGCCCAGAATTCAATCCCCATGACTGACAAAAAAAAAAAAAAATCTATGGGAATCAAAATTAGGTCCATTCTATTCCCAGTTCAAACTTCCATCTCCAGTGTGCTGCCTGGAACATGCACAACCCATGTCCTTCTCTGACCCTGTTCCCTGGGTTGCCAGGCTGGGAAGTCAGTCTAACAAATCCTTACTGGCCCAAATACATTTATCAGGGTCAGTAACTTGGGCAGCACAAGGGCTCTACTTAGAAGTGAAACATCTTTGACCCCCTGAAAATGTACAAAATCTTTGGCTCCCCTGAAGATTGTAAAGTCAGAATCTGGATTTGAATGTGAGCTACATTCAAGTTTAAGCTCTTGTCAGAGAGCATTCTTGACAATGGTTGAACAGTATTTTAAAGGAGTTTCTGGTTCATAAACTTAGCAATGTCAGGTTCATTGGCCTGTTCCAGCCTAGAATTTGTGTAAGCACCCCAGGCAGTTCTAAGGTGCAGCCAGGTGGAGAACTACTAGGCTGGGTGATCTCAAAAACAGATTTCTCTTCTTGAACTTTGATGGGCTCATTTTGATTCAAGAATGTGGGTTGAGCTCTAACCAGCTCCCTGTGGGCCCTGCTGCTTAGCTGGAATCACACTTGGAGTTAACAAAGCTTGGAACATAGATCTTTCCATCTCTAACAGTTCATAACTTTATCAACTACACTCTCCTCCCCCCTCCCTCTCACTGTATCTCCTTGTATATCATCAGTAGGTCACAACATTGACTGCACAGTGCATTGATTTGAGGACTTTAAAATATCCACATATGTTGATCCCCTCATCAAGGCACAATGCCTAAGTGCCGCTTCCTATTTATATAAAATAATGTACATACTGAAACAAACTCCAAGATATGGAAACAAAAGACTTTTTTTTTAGTTTTTGACGATTCAGTCTTCTTTGCCTTATCTATGGTGTATTCACGGGTATATCTTCAGGAAGGTGGGGGAGGGCACAGAACTTGAGGGAGAAAGGGTGAAAAAGCACAGCAGTGGAGCTCACTGGACACTGATGAAAATGAGCTATTCAACTGGTGGGTGGAGAAGGGAGGGAGGGACAGGAGAGAATGAGGACAGAAGACACTGTACTAAGGACATATACTTATTACCTGACTCGTGCAGTTGTAATCCCTCTGTACATTACCTCTATAATAACAATAAAGTAAATTATTTTTAAATGGTGAATATTTTTAAAAAAGGTAATGGCATATGATTAAAATATTGGCTTATGATGTCAAAAATAACACTTTTAAAATTAAAGAACGATTTGTGTTTTATTCATTAGAGATTCAAACACCAATAGTAAAAAGCAAAACAACAAAAACTACCTCTTCTGTAATTCTAACATCAACCAAAATGGAAAATATGGCATACAGTAATTTAAAGACAACTACTAAGCCTCATTCTAGCCCCAGCTTTGAGAGAAGAGATTTTTGACAGTTAAGACCCAGTCTGGGACCAAAAAATAAATAAGCAACCCTTTGGTGTTGAAAGTGTGGATCAGCTGGCAGAGTGCTAGCTAATAAGCAAAAGCTTCAGGTCTTCAGGTACCAAGTTCAAGTCCCAGTCTTGGACCAAAAAGAAAAAAAAGAGACGGGATAGGACGGGCCAGGATGGGACAGGACAGGATGGGAAAACAAAGAGAGAGGGAGAGGGAGAGAGAAAGGAAGGAAGGAAGGAAGGAAGGAAGGAAGGAAGGAAGGAAGGAAGGAAAGAAAGAAAGAAAAGAAAAGGGTGAGCAACGAGCTCAGACAAAGGCAATCAAACAACTACCCCTGACTTCTTTGCTAACACAGGTCTGCATCAGCATGTCTTCATTTACAAAGGGAGCTAGTGCTATGCTAAGCAGACTGCTAGTCTTAAGAGTTTGCTCCAAGATGCACACTCAGGGATTTAATGGGTGTATCCCTGTCCCTCGTTGGGCCAAACCAAGAAGATTGTGCCATGCGGGGGCGGTCCAGCTGTATAGCACTTCTTGGGTTATTACAAGAACAACCTGTAGGGCTGGGAAGGTAGCTCCGTGGTAGAGTGCTTGCCTTGCATGCATGAAGCCCTGGGTTCGATTCCTCAGCACCACATAAGCAGAAAAAAAGCCTGAAGTGGCACTGTGGCTCAAGTGGTAGAGTGCTAGCCTTGAGCTGAAGAGCTGAGGGACAGTGCCCAGGCCCAGAGTTCAGGCCCCACAACCGATAAAGAAGGAAGGAAGGGAGGGAGGGAGGGAGGGAGGGAGGGAGGGAGGGAAAAAGAGTGAGAGAGAAAAGGAAGCAAAGGAACAACCTGTAGCCTTCTCCCCCACTAGCTGTCCCACATGCTTGACCCAGTGCCTGCATACAAAAGGGCAGGAGAAAAGTCACAGGAGGGTACCTGGGTTCTACTGCCCATATCTGCTCCATCCATTGTTCAAGGTTCAGCAACTTCTCCCTAAAAGCAGCTACGAAGGAGACCGGCTCACACAACTTGCAAGGAAAGCTGACTCCAGACAGGAAGGAAAACTCCCGATACTTTGCCCAGAATCAAGGTGTCCCTGGCTAAGTTATCTGGTGAGTCCTACCAGGGGACTTGCCCAAGGGCAGAACCAGGGACACCAGGTGAGGAAGTGAGGCCCAATGGAGCAAGAGCCACATTTCATGCTGGACTGCCCCCATGTCACAGTACAATATGCAGCAAGCACTCAGCCTTGACCTGCTGCACCAACAGGGAAATAAGTAGACCACAACACACATGCACCTGTTAAGACTCATAAACCAGAGCCCCAGTAGATCACACCTGAAATCCTAGCTACTCAGGAGGCTGAGATTGGAGGATCACGGTTCAAAGCCAGCCTGCGCAGGAAAAGTCTGTGAGACTCTTATCTCCAATAAACCACCAGAAAACTGGAAGTAGCTCTGTGGCTCAAGTGGTAGAGCACTGGCCTTAAGCTGAAGAGCTGAGGGACAGTGCCCAGGCCCAGAGTTCAAGCCCTACACTGACAACAGAAAAACAAAACCAAAAAACAAACAAACAAAAAAACTCATATACTATTCCTCTCCCAAATTCCTCTACATGAACACTCATCCAGCCCTAATACCTTCCCAGAATCAATTCTGATCAATGATCTTATCCCTTTTCCCTGTGTCTCTTATCTCATTCCTTCTGTTTTTTATGGTCTGATGGTTTTTTATTTTTTGTGTTTGGGTTTTTTTTTTGAGACAAGGTCTTACTATGTACCCCTGGCTAGTCCTGAACTTGTGATCCTCCTTCTCAGTCTCCCCAAGACTGGGATTACAGGAATGTACCACCACACCTGGCTTCTCAATTCTAACTTATCAACATTCTCCACTCTCCTTCAAAGCAACTCTTCTGCTTCCGCTCCTTAGCTCCCAGAGCCTCTGCCTGTCCTCATCTCTTTATGTGCTAGGTTTCCTCATTTCCCACTCTGCTGTCCACCTCCACATGCTCCCTCCTCCCTCATGTTTATGCAGAAATTGCTCTTGTAGAGGCCATCTTTGCCCTTCTAATCTCTACACTCTATCTTACTCTTCCTCATTTACCATGCCTTCTTCTTGGCTTCTAGTCAAGGGTATCCAGTATTCATAGGCCCTGCTTATACCCCTCTTTAAATGCTGGACCCTAGAACTATCTTGCATTCCTTCCACACTGAGAAGTAAGCCTGCAGCTATAATAAATGCCTGAAAACCAGCTTTGGAACTAGTATGGAGAAAGATAGGAAGACTTTGGAGGTACAGGTTGGATTGAGTAAAGTGGAGCATTAGGGTTGTTCTGGTGAAGACTAGGAGGAAGAGAATTGTAGGAAATGTCTGAAACTTCTTAGAGAGGACTTAAGTGGCTATCATTGAATACAGGTAGAAACAGCT